AGTTTCGCCAATGAAGACAAATTGGCAGACCTAACCATCACTACTGTAAGGATCTTATTCATAGTTTTCGTTGCGTTGTAAATGAAAGTGCTCAAAGTTTATAATTACTTGTGGGTTTTAATCAAGTCTTTTGAGCAAAGTTTTATAATTTCACTTACATTTTAAATTCTTTGGATTATGTGCCCTTTGTTTAAAAGTAAAATTTTGATTTGAGTTTTTCACTGAAATATTTTATTATTTCACTCACGTATTCAATTCACCATATAGAATTATCTTTATTTAATATACAAGATTTTAACTAGAATTTACTTTGTGTTTTCCTTGCTTTGGGGAGGGGCTAGAATTTTCAAGTGAACTACTATAATTAAAATACATTGAAATGGTTCATCAGCTAACTCTGGATACAGAAAAGCAAGGATTTTTGTGGAAGAGAGATTTCAATTGATTTTTATGTTCCTCCTCCGCACGAAGTGGCACTGACGTCGTTTGAATTCCTCTTCTATTATGTTCATTTTTATTTAAATTTCATTGATTTATTTTTAATTGGGGTTTTGTTTGTTTGAAGAGTTTTTGTTTTTATTTATTAAATTCTTCATTGCATTTACAGTCAAAAGTCGTTAATCCAGACTCGTCGGGACTTTGGCGATTCCAGATTATAGATCATCAGTTTAAATCTCGTAAAATGGCATGCAGAAATTCTAAAATTAAAAATATGAAACCGTAATTTATGAAATAAAGAACAATTATGATCTAAAGGGTATCAAAATTTACAAAAAAAAAAAGCTTAATATTTATTTGTTTACTTTATTAAACATTTCTTTCAATGTAAGTTGTTTAAGTTGCTTCGTTTTATGTGATAATACTTTCTCTTTAATTCTATAAACAGACATAATTTCTTGTTCAGTTACAAAGTTCCGCTGTTCAAGTCCCGTAATTGCTGTGCCGAGAATACCGACTAACTTGTCAAACGAAATTTTTTCGTTTTCACTAATCTCTCTGTCACCTTCTTCATGATTTTATCCATTTTTGCAGCAATTCCCCTTTTTGTTTGATGGACATCGAAACATACTTTCGTTTTGTAGATCCTTTGGGAGCTTCAGCATCGGAAATTCTATTTGACATAATCGAAAGTTCAAGTTTACTTTTATAAAATTGCTCTTACAGTGTGAAAAAAGTAATAAGCCGGATCCAGTTCGAAGATTAAGGAGCAACGCTATCATCAACATTAACTGAAATAAATAATTAGATAATTTTAGCTTATACCGTCCGTTATACATTAAACGCGCACGCGAAAACGTATTCTGCACTTGCGCACACGCATATGCGCAGTCATAAAGGTCTTACGCACATGCATAAACGCCTATGCGCATGTGTCAATGTGGCGCATGCGCAGAAAGATTTTAGCTTTGAGGTCCGGATTATGGGTGACCGAATTAACGACTTTTGACTGTATAGGATTATATGAAATTTACTACTTATGAATTTCACTTTTTGGTCTTTTTGAAAAATTAGTTCTAAATATCTTACTTTATCTATGTATAAGTTACAGTAGAGTAAATTTCACTTAATATTGAAAGACATTACTTATTGTGTGAACTATATTGTTCGTAAGGTATTCCACTGATATATTTTAACTTAATCTTTTTAGTATAAAAATTAAGTCCATAAAATACGGAAAATTGGAAAAATATAATTTCATTTTAGAAAAAGTCGAAAGCCTCTCTTTCTTCCAGTACATTCCTATTTCTGAATGTGGCTCCAAATACTCTCTCAAGTCAAAAAATATTATGATAATAAATATTGGCTGTCTGAAGTATGCAATAAAGATATTTTCAGAAAGCATGAAAGCATCGTCAATTCAATATTGATTAAAGATCTGTGACTATGCTCTTTTAAATAAGAACAAATCAGCAGGCAGATCAACTTCCTACCTCCAACTGCACAAACCTGTTTGATGATATGGCAAATGCTTTTCCTATATTTTCTACCATTCCATACTTACAGAGTATGCAGTGTTGGATAAAGCTGGTTTTCACTAATAGTGAGATCCGGTAGCCAACAAACTAAAGCAGACTCTAAGGGCATAAAATAGCTGTCCGGGTGTTGAGCGAATATGATGACAAAGAATGCAAGCTTCAAACAAACATTCGCTCATCTCAGTGTCTCCACACATGAATGTGGCAGTCATGATGCTATAAGTAAAAGTTGCTGCCAAGATGGTATAGTGTTAGTGACGCTGATTACAATACTGATTGGCCCAGGTTCGAATCTAGAAGAAGACATGGTTGTTGTGTCTGAGCAGCAAAGGAGCACTCAAAACACACAGTAAGCTGAAACTCCACTTAAGCTGTTGGCAGCAGAGAAGGGTGGGAGACTCTTAGGTAACCTTCCGGAGTGTCCTCCCTCAAAATTGGAGGAGAAGCTTAACAGTTAACAAGGCAAAGCAATACCTAACATATACCTACTTCTTCTAAGCCGTGGAGGTGCATTGCCTTGCACTATTTTTTGTCAACTTAATATTATGTTTTTGGATTTTCCTCACGGAAATTATATCAGAGGCCAATCGGTGATAAACAAATGTGGTTGCCACTGATTGGCTGATGTTGTGTATTTATATGCTGGAACTGTGAACGCAATGGGATTCACTGGTTTTTCTTTTCTCTTTGGTTTAAACGCAAAGGCTACTGTTGCAGCCTTGTTGTTTTAATTTGATTTATGAAATAAATATTAGTCTTATTTTTTATCAGTCCCGCTTTTTTATTTAAGAGAGGCAATGTATGCTTTTGTTACAAAAACAATTTTTTGAAAGTTGCACAGCTGTTTTTGTAAAAAATTTGACTTCAAATACAGGCACAGAAACCCTCTTCCCATTTGCACACTCTTATATACGTTTTAAACATTTTTTCTCCCATATACTTTTGTACCAGTGAAAAAATTAAAGGGAACATTGCCCACAGGAATGCACAAGTACAGGTTTTGTTTTAACCTGCACCTGCAAGGGGGGGGAGAGGATTCATTGAAAAAGACAACATTAGTCTACTAATGTGTTCATAAATGTCACTGAATACAACATTGTAGGTACTGATTTTCAGTACTGCAGCATCAAGGAAAGCCAATGCAATATAGCCTTGCTGACAATCTATGGTATTTCAGACATTTTTGCACCATATGTATGGATATCTGACATTCCAATCCAACAAAACACCAATTTCCTGAACCAGGGCATGTGATGTGGCTGTACAACAGTCATCTCATCCCTATCATCCAGTAATGACGGGGACAAGGTACCTGTCAACTCAAGAATTAGTAAGTGGAGGCCATTAAGATCCCACAAAACATTCTTTATGACCTTCCTGGATCTGTCAGTTGCAAATCTGCATAATAGTAATTGGATCTTATGCGAGCAGCAATTGCATAGTACAATAATCCACAGTCAAAGTAAGCTTTAATTTTCCCATTGCTGAAAAGACATGGAGATACAAAATCCTTTTTCTTACATGAAGCACACTTACATGAACCTCCAATGCAAAAAACAATGAGCAGACACAATATTCAAATGAAAAGCTGACATTTCAATCTACTGTATTACCATGAATATAACACAATAGTCTACTAACTCTAATTGACTTGTCCTAAATTTGAAGTCTAGGTAATGGAATGTAAGTTACTGGTTTGTCCACGCCTCCGCCCAACCTGCATAAAGACTCAGAACAACATGACAGCCACACCTCTACCCAAGCCAAGTTGGGGAAGTCCCAATTTATACAGTCAAAAGTCGTTAATCTGGACTCGTCGGGACTTTGGCGATTCCGGATCATAGATCATCAGTTTAAATCTGGTAAGATGGCATGCAGAAATTATAAAATTAAAAATATGAAACCGTAATTTATGAAATTATGTCAATTATGATCTAAAGGGTATCAAAATTTACAAAAAAAAAAAAAAAAAAAAAAGCTTAATATTTATTTGTTTACTTTATTAAACATTTCTTTCAATGGAAGTTGTTTAAGTTGCTTCATTTTATGTGATAACACTTTCTCTTTAATTCTATAAACATATATAATATCTTGTTCAGTTACAAAGTTCCGCTGTTCAAGTCCTATAATTGCTGTGTCGAGAACACCGACTAATTTGTCAATCGAAATTTTTTCGTTTTCAATAACTTCTGTGTCACTTTCTTCACTATCGGAAGCGAATTATAATGACGAGGAATTTGATTTAAATCATATCAAAGACGAAGTACATCGAGATGAAATACTACATTTAGTAAGGAATTATAAGCCAAATAAAATAAAAACATCTGCCCTGAAGATAAGGATAGTGCTGACAGATCAATTTCCAATTCACTGCGCGTCACAGCGTTCTCGGCGTTTTAAGGCACCATTACTCTTATTACCTATAATGTGCATTTTATGAAATGCTACTCATCTGCACATCCCAGCACATTGTAACTTTGACACATATTTCAGGTTTATTATGTGAGCAATTTTAATGATTAGCATATTGTCAAATAAGGTGAAAAATTAATTATTCTACACAGTAATTATTGAAAAAATTAAATAAAAGATAACTACAATTTGCATTCCCACAGAAAATTTTAAAGAAAACAAAGAGATCAATTATTAAGAAAAGCAGTGTTAACTGGTTTATGCAATAAATGATTATAAATGACTAAACATATGAGTATTTTGTGAATTAATGATAACTTTTTAGCACTACGATATATAAATTTATTCAGCTGTGCCACATTTTTTCTTCTATTATAAATATATATATTAGTTAGGAGATGGTATTAAATATTCTAATATATTTTAAAGCAGAGATAAGATCAGCTAAAATCTTTAAATATATAATTTGGGTAAGTGATTTGCACATATTTCATTATCAAATTTTTTTAAAAAAGGGAAGGCATTGTGAATTATACAAATAGTCATTTGCATATTATATTATATTATTATACATAAAAAAATCTTATACAATACAAAGAAGGTTTTGCTTACAAATGCCTGTCATCTTTAATTTTCAACTCTATGCTCCTGTCTCGAGGCTCACGGGAATCTTTTTTCGTTCTTATATCACGAACATCTCTAATATCAGGAATATCCCTAATTTCAACATTCTTCCTAACTTCTCTTTCTCTTATAGGGTCATCTCTGTAACGAACAGTTCTAGTATCCATATCTCGAGCACCTTTCCTATTTGAGTCACTGGCCCATGAAGTTCTGCTTTCTCGACGTGGGTTTCTGTCATGACTTCTGTGGTGATCTTTTCGTCGTGCTAAAAATATTAAATAAATGTCTTATTTAACAAGTAAGAACAAGCAGAACAAACTTTTTATTTAAAAGCCAAGTTTTTCAAAAACTAAATAACTTTCAACTATTAAAAAATACGACATTTGGACATCAGCTTGCACCTGCCAATACACTGATAATACAGCTGAAGACCTTTATTTTTGTGTGCTGTGGTAATCCTACAAGCTATGCTGGATTTTTCTAGAAGAATCAGATTTTTTTCCTAGAAAATTTCATTGCTTGGGGGGGGGGAAGATGAGCAGAATTCTAAGAAAAGGATAGTAGAGCCGTGCCTACATATTTTTTTACCTAAGGAAAAGACGTAAATATCTCCTCTATGTAAAAGGCAAGATGCTCAGCTATTGGAGGTATGAAGACAGCATATATACATATGCAGTTACTTCATAAATTGTCTGTTTGTTTCATGAAGTAACTGATCAAAACAGTTAATGCAAGTAATAAATAATTCCTCACTAACTAGTTATTTCAGAGAATAAATATTTATTCTAAAAATTTGCTAATGATACACATTTAAAAGTGTAAAAAAAAAAAAAAAGAAAAAAAAAAAGAAAGAAAGAAAGAAAAAATATATACAATACAAAGTCTGAGATTCGGAATGATTTAAAATCTCAAAGCCACCAATCTTTTTTTCTGTATGCCCTTAAGCATGCACACTTCATTCCCCCCTAACAAAACATGTGGAGAGTCCCGATTCTTAATTTCACTTTGCCGCTAAATAAAACACCTCGTTATTGAAGAAACAATCACTTTAGTATAAATTGGTGTGATCAATAACTTGACTCCGTAACTGCATATCTGCTTGGCATACATCTCAAACCGAAATATTCTACATAGAAACATTGTAGATTTTACACCTACCAATATTATATACCCTTAATGCCAACCTGGTGAATCATTATTTATTATACAGTACAAAGTCCAAAATCCAGACTTGTCTGGACTATTATCAATTTAAATCTAGTAAGATGGCATGTAGAAATTATAAAATTAAAAATATGAAATCGGGATTTATGAAATAATGAAGTATTTTTATCTAAAGGGTATCAAAATTTACAAAACAAAAGCTTAATATTTATTTATTTACCTTATTAAACATTTCTTTCAATGTAAGTTGTTTAAGTTACATCATTTTTGCACTAATACTTTCTCTTTAATTCTGTAAACAGACATAATCTCTTGTGAGTTACATTGTTGAAGTCCTGTAACTGCTGTTTCGAGAATTCTGACTAAATTGTCAATCAAAATTTTCTCGTTTTCAGTAACTTCTCTGTCAATTTCTTTACTATCAGAAGCGGTATTTTCCGCATCTAGAACCATACTACAGATGTTGCCATTCATTAATTGATTGATGATTGAGAAGCATTGTCATTGCACTGAAAAATTTTTGTATATCCTCTTCATTTAATACCGCTTCTCAACATTTATTTACAAAATCCGTTAATTGGAAAATTTCACCTTTGTTTTGCGATACCTGAAAACCTTTAAAATTGGCGGCTATCATCATCAAATTTAGCTATCCTTCACTATACATATTTGGCTATGCATCATGAGCTTGGCAACTAATGACAAGTTGTTCCGTCAAATTTTATCTTGCTTCTATCGCACAGAGAGAATTAAGCCTGAAATGTATTAGTTTAGTTATTTATTATACTTATGTCTATTTCTTGCACATGCTTAAGGCTTATCAGATTTCTGAATAAATTTACACATATACTAAGCCTTATTGAAAGCCGGTGCTAGATATCTTATCGCCTGATGCCAGTCTCTGTGGGTCCTAAATTCTGCAACTGAGTGCGTCCATACTAGCCCTGGCGCTGTTTCTGGGTTTATGCAAATAACAAATTAGTTATTCTTAATTCAAATAGCCCTAAATGTAATCTGTGGGTCTATGAGTATCATCAACAAAATCTATTTTTTGAATATGGAAAGAAAGTTTTGGTAAATTTTTCCTTGTCAACATTTTTTAGCGCTTTTAACTTAAATCTGTAATCAACGCCAAGCATAATGTCAACATAAAAGGTTACCATATTCCTTTATTAATCAATTACTAACATTAAAAAAATTGTTCAGGCATTGCTACACGAGTCATCATAGAAGATGTCAGTCATGTTTTGATAAACATGCAGTGATGAAAGGAAAGTATAATAAACAATGATTCGCCAGGTTGGCATCAGATCAACAATGTATCTATGTGGAATGTTTGGGATTGAGAATTGTGCCAAGCAAATATACAGCAACAAAGCCAAATTACTGATCATACAAATTTATGCTAAAATGATTGTTTCTTCAATAACAAGGTATTTTATTTAGTGTCGAAGTGAAATTAAGAATCGGGACTCTCCAGATAATAAAATATATACGTGAAGGGGGATCAAATGCGCATGTGTAAAGCATATGAGAAGAATTTTGGTTTTGAGGTCCGGATTTTAGAGCATTCCGGCCGGATTTTAGAGCATTCCGGATAATGGATATCTAGATTTCGAACTTTGTACTCTATTTTGCTTTCATCACTGCATGTTTATCAACACATGACAAGGAATATTTTGCCAAACATCTCTTATTCACAATTTCATGCTGGTGTTGTCCATGCATCCTTTCTTATGAATATGAATGAAAATGCCATTTAGAAGATTACATTTCAGCATCATCTTTCTTTTGAAATTAACCATGCGTTTTCATTTTGTACCATCCACTAAGCAGGAAAGCACTAAGGTAACATGAGATTTTTCAAGACCTGTGTTTTTTTGTGAACTGTTTTTGTTCCATCACATCAATTATTTTATTTTTATCATAATCGAACATTACTGAGTTTCATCTATATTTCCAATACGTGAGAGTAAATATTTTTTTGCCTTCATAAGTCAATAACATAGTTCTGAAAACTTATCAATTTGTTCAATCAAATCTTTCGGAAGCTTTAGCGAAACTTTTGTTTTTTCTAACAGAGCTAAATTTTTCCATGTCGTAAACTGACTACACTAACTTAGTGCTCTTTAAAGTCTTCACTTTCATTTGTATTCTTTTTTTGCTTGCTTTAAAGCAAATAAGCATATGCTATTTCTTGCTACAATTAAATCATTGTTGAACCCAGTTCGCAACATTTTCTTCTAAAATATGCCACTTCATTACTCCTTTATGCAATGTACATTTATTTTGTTATACTAATTATTGTGATCTGTTTTCTTCTACTCGCATATGAAGCTTTCACTTACACCAAACATCCTTGCTGCAGCACGACTTCCATTTTCTTTCACAAATTTAATGACTTTGCATTTGAAATCAGTAGTGTGTGTATTTCAGCTAAAAAGCAAATGTGATTAATTGCAGCCTCTGATGTTAACTTCAAAATCGTGGTTTCAAATGACTTCATAAAGAGAATACATCCAACTTTTAATTCCACGAATTCTTTCTGGTCATAAATACGAGGCGTATTCGGAAACTAAGTACCGTTTTGAAAAAAAAAAAAAAAAAAAAATAGTAAAACAATTTTTTCGAATCCAATTTTACTTTTACATGAAAATACATGTCTTAAACTATTTTTCAACATAGTTTCCTGCCAATGATCAAACACTTGTCATAGCGGGTGACCAGTTTTTGTATACCATCGTCAAAGAAACTTCCCGCCAGTTTCGATAACCACGACTCCACAGCATTTTTCGTGTCATCGACAGATCCAAAGCGATTGCCACCAAGCTCGCGCTTCATGTGCAGGAACAAGTGATAGTCGGAAGGCGCCAAGTCCGGGTTGTACGGTGGATGATCGAATTGCTCCCAATGAAACTGTCAAATTAATGATAGAGTGACACCACCAGTATGGGGCCGAGCATTGTCATGGAGCAACACAATTCCTTTACTGAGCATTCCTCTTCGTTTGTTTTGAATGGCACGCCTTAGTTTTGTCAAGTCTCACAATATCGTGCCGCATTAATGGTTTCACCTCTGGGAAGAAATTCAGTAAGCAAAATGCCTTTCCTATCCCAGAAGACAGTGCACATGATTTTTTGTGATGACACTGTCACTTTGAACTTTTGTTTTTTCGGAGAATGAGTGTGTCTCCACTTCATTGATTGTTATTTCGATTCTGGTGTAAAATGACACACCCAAGTTTCATCACCTGTCACAATTTGGTTTAAAAAGTTTTCTCCCTCATCACTGCACCGCGTGAGAAATGTCAGGGCACTACCAAGTCGCTTTGTTTTGTGAACATCAGTGAGCATTTTTGGAACCCATCGGGTACACAGTTTGCGATAATTAAAGCGGTCAGACACAATTTCGAACAAAACAGTACGTGAAATTTGTGGAAATGCCTCTGAAAGAGTTCTCATTGTGAAGCGTCTGTTCTCATGAATTGCTTCATCAACTTTCCTTATCAAATCATCGGTGACAACAGAAGGCCGACCACTCCGAGCCTCGGCGTGGACATTTGTTCGACCTGCATTAAACATTCTTACCCACTTTCTCACCATTCCTTCACTTATCGCGTATTCACCATAAACTTCTGTCACTTGACGATAAATTTCGGCCAGTTTAACATTCCATTCAAAAATTTAATCACGGCACGAATGTCACAGTCAGGCGGGAGAACTAATTGTCTTAAACATTTTGAATGTGCACAGCAAACTGAAAACACAATATAGAGCAACCAAAATGGCGACAATTGAAAGTCAGTGAACAAAAAAAGACTAGTGCGCATGCGCGGGACGCCTACCACAGCGCTGTTACAACGCTAGAATGAAACGGTACTTAGTTTCCGAATACGCTACATACATTCTTATCCCAAATCACGTCTCCCTTTTCTCAAAACATTAAAATAACATTCTTAAGCCCGATTGCATTGAATACAACCCACCTTCTTTGCAGAATTACTATTTACCCCCCACACATCTTGTTCCCCTTATGACTTGACAGTTCAGTATACTATCATTTAGAAGCCAGGGATAAATGCTTGAATGCTTTGAAAAATAACAGCATCACACATGCATCTTTCAGGTTTCTTTGTAAAGAAAAAGGTGCATATTATACAGAAAATAAACTTAATTTTTTTTTTTTTTTTTTTTTTTAATGTAGTTCAGAAAATGTTAAATTGCCGTTATGATGAATCCGATCTATATTTTGCCGCATTATGAAATCACTTGAAATTTTGATAGGTGCAGAATACTTTTAGGAAATCAATTCAGGTGAATGTAGGGGGAGGAGCAATAATATAACAGCTGTAAAGATATATGTGTTCAAAATATGTGTTTAATGTCGAACATATAATGTTCGCCATATTGAAATGCTGTTTAATATAATAGCAACAGCGCCAAAAGCCTTTGCGCATGGATAAGAAAATAAATGAGAGTATTAATGATAGGTTCACAAACTGTCAAATAAAGAATCAAAGAGGTTTCGGCAAACTGATAGCTTAGGTGTTGAATCTCAGTTTGAACATAATTCGTTTAATTACTCTGATGTTATGAAACTATCTGAAACAGAAATAAAATTTAGTGGTACAAAATATGAAATTAGATAACCATTTAAAATTAAACCAAAATTAAGATGACAATTTTAACATTGCAAAATGAAGACTAATCAGTTTAAAGAATAGGTTTAAGAGTAACTTATCTTTTAATGAAGAATATGAAAGGATGCATACATATGTTTCTGAATCCGGTCCTGAAGACAGAACAGTAATACAAAATTTGTAACAATATAACAAGAAAAAACAATAAAAACAGTGAATAATAATGAACTTACACTCATGTTTTCTTGAATGCTTGCTCCTTTTCTTATCATCATGACGAGAGCTCATATTTTTAGATTTCAGCAATGCTTGAGGTGGTTTTATATCTAAAGAATCATCCCGATCTTCTTTCGAGCTTTCACTGAAATTTCAATTTCATTGATGATATAAATAGAAAATTTAAAAATTTATACAATTTAAAATCATAATAAATTTATCCAATTAAATATCATATAGCAAAATTTTTAAGGGTTAGAGAAACACTGTTCATTTAAGTGAACTACCTACTAAGCAGGAAAACTATTATGAAATGCTCAAATGAATTTCTTAAATGAAACTTTTTTTATTTCTATTTATTATTATTATTATTGTAAAATCTTATTTGATTTTACTAATTTTTAAATATTTTATTGTCTTCCTCCTTCCCCAGGTTAATACTATTTATTGCGAACATTTTTTCAATTATTTAAAATCATAATTACTGATAAGCTTATATGAAATCTAATATCTGATAATCTTATATCAAAAAGGAAAGGTTCTTCAGAATGCTATGGATCAGATTTAAAACATTTTTGCAAATTATTCTTATAAGCCAACTATAAAACCAGTTTTCCTTAACCTGTGTTCTAACACAAAGAAAGGCAGAGTTAAGTTTTGAGAAAATTAAGGTACTTACTGTCCCGTCGACAGTGAAACTGCAGCCAAGCGGCATGATTCAGCGCCAATTATGGATAAACATGATGTCTAACAACACACTAAGGATATCTGTGTTTTCTTTTGATGTAACTTCAAATGCTTCTTAAGAAGCCACCTTTTGATAACCAAGCATATAAATCAGATGTTACTGTTGTATTTTTCCTTAAATTTTGCATAAAAATATTTGAAGGCTTTAGAATTACACTTATGACTGCACTCCAATTCGTTTACAGCTCGCCGAAAGAATTAGCATCTGTTGCATAGGGAAAAAAGACAGGTGGATGTGGCTGACAAAACAGAAATAATTGAAATAATCACTTGCAAAGAGTTTACACTCAAAAAAGCATTCTAAAGAGAGCTTCCAGTTAAATGAATGAGACTAATAAAATAACAGAAATTGGTGAAAGCCTTTTCATGAAGCATAAAAATGAAACAGGTTGGATACTTCCAAAGCAGTGGCAATTTGGTGGATTGTGCAGTAGCTGACAAATGTTTTATTGTAAGAGTTGCAGGCAGAAGTGCAGCTCAGAATTCCACATGAACAACTATCCCAACTTTGGCAGGATCTCCTTCAACTTTCATGGTTTGATGATAGCCAAATTTCATGGTTGATGGGACAATATACGAGTACCAAAATTAGTGAAATTAGAAAGATAAACTGCTTTAAGGTAACAATAGCAATCCATTGAACTTGGCCCAACCAGGTGAAAGACGCATACAAAGTAATTAAAATGTTGGTACTCTTCTGTTAGCAGGACCAGATTCAGAAATATATGTATGTATGCATATATATGGGGTTCGTGACACTTAGCCAACGGGGCACTTAACTGACACCAGTTAGCCGACAGGACATTTAGCCGACATGAACACTTAGCCAACGGACATTTAGCCAACACGGACAGTTAACCAATAAGACAGTTAGCCGACAAGACATTCAGCCGACATGGACAGTTAGCCGACAGGACATTTAGCCGACAAGGGCACTTCGCCAACAGGCCATTTAACCGACACTGACAGTTAGCCGACATAGACAGTTAGAGCTGACAGGACAGTTAGCCGACAACGACACTTAGCCAACACAAAGAGTTACCGTCAGGACATTTAGTTACGGGACATTTAACTGTCAAGACATTTATTTAGTCAACAGGACACTAAGCCGACAGTGACGTTTAGCTGACACGTACCCAATAATTATTTAAATTTACTATCAGTTACAAATTTTTCGACTTATCCGTAAGTTCAATATTTAAGTTATTGTTTTTTCACTTATCAGCAAAAGTCATTTTTCGTTTCTTAAAGGTCTCATATGTGCTTTAAATTCTTGTGTAATTTAGCATTATTTGATATGTATCATGCTGTTTTGGTGCATATTGGCCAAATTGAAAAAGCGCTGAAATTTCTCGTCAGGGAATATGAATTATATTTTGAAAGGAAAACAGACATTTTTTTAGCTAAGTGCGGCGGCCACTTAATTACATTTTAATATGATCTTCAAAAATTATACGTAAAGCTTCATTTAATCTACTGAGTTCATTTGAACACCTTCACATCATTAATAATTTTTTCTTGTTTACTTAATGACATTAATTTTCCAATCTCGCTCTTCTAAATGCTTTCAAATTTCTAATACCTTTACGTTTCAGGCCCACCAGCAGCCGAGCGGTAACATCGCTGAACACTGTAGTTCAGTCCGAGGTTCAAAACCCGCGAACGGGCTGGCTGCATGGGTGATTCCGTGGTTTTCCCCACGTGTAACGTGTATACGAGACAGTTTCCCTTTAAAGGTCCTCCACGAAGGCATCCTTCCCTTAAGGCAGATAGCCCTCGACTGCTTTGCTGTAATCTAATAAACCAAACCAACCTTTACATTTCATTACTATTTAACTCATCACATCATATTACATTCTTTCCTTTACAAAAGCATTTGGCTTCTCCCACTAATGAAATTTCCTTTCCCTGTCATGAAAAATCTGAATAATGCAATAAAAATTGATATTCTTGAGTTATACTTTTTTATAGAAACATATGGTGGTAAGGGTTAGTTTAGCAAATATATTTTATTTTGTTATGAAAAACAATTTTAAAAAGAGAATTTTTAAGACAAGCAAATGTATAAATTATTTGTGACCTCCATAATTTGCAGTTCATGTCTCCATTCTTGAGATAGAAATCCTGTAACCTTTTATTGGCCACACCTCTCACTTAAAAATACTTACTTAGGTTAATGTTTACAGCACTAAATTTGTGCATAATGTTTAATTTAGAAGTAAAATATTCTTTAGGTTTTGTTTCATTCATAACTGAAGCTGCAGAAGGAGGGGGCCACAAACCAAGTAGGCGGAGCAAAGCGTCACATCCTGAAATGTCACTGTAACGTGGTGCCATCTATCGATGCTGGATTTAACTAGATTAGTCACGTAAATACATAATATTATGTACTATATTTTGAAAGTCGCGATGTGTAATTTTCAATGTAATATCTTATATTAATGTTGTTCTTATAAAATATAACTTTTCGCAATATCTGTTAAAAATGTATAGATTTTCATTTCATTTTTAATTAATTTTATTTTTTCCTCTTTCATTCCTTCTCTCTCTCATTTTCAGTTTAGCTACATGGTAATGGGAAAATTTTTGGTGCCCATTTTTCTGAATGCATTTATAAAGTTCTAACCTAAAATAGCAATTTTCATTGGAAAAGACTCGTTATATATCACGTAAAACAGTCAGCCTGTTTCTGTTAGGCTCGGCAGAGACTGAGCTTTAAAGTCATGAATCCTGGTGGTTTGGTCCGAATTTCGAATCCCGCGAACAGACAGGCTGCATGGGTGTTTTCGTGGTTTTCCTCATGTGTAACATGTATATGAGCCAGTTTTCATTAGAAAGTCCTCCACGATGGCATCCCTCCCTTTGGCCAGACGGCCAAAGGGAGGGATGCCATCGTGCCCTTTGACTTTGCCATAATTACATAAACAATAACTTACTTCTGTTAGGTGGCTGCAAACTTGGTTTGTCGCCCTCTCATTCTGCAGCTTCAGGTATGAATAAAACAAAACCTATAGAATATTTTACTTCTAAATTAAACATTATGCCCCAATTTAGTGCTGTAAACATTAACCTAAGTAAGTATTTTAAGCTAGATGTAGAGGTCACAAATAATTTATACCTTTGCTTGTCTTAAAAGTTCTCTTTTTTTAAATTGTTTTTAACAACAATATAAAGCATATTTGCTAAAATAACCCTCACCAATATATGTTTCTATAAAACAGTATAATTCAAGAATAACGATTTTTATTGCATTATTCAGATTTTTCATGACAGAGAAAAATTTCATTATGGGAGGAGCCAAACGATTTTGTAAGGGAAAGAATGTAACATGATGTGATGAGATGACTAAAATAGTAATGAAACTTAAAAGTATTGGAAATTTGAAAGCATCTGAAGGAGCGAGATTGGAAAATTAATATCATTAAGTAAACAATAAAAATTACTAATGATGTGAAAGTGTTCAAAAGAACCCTGTTGATTAAATGATGAAGCTTTATGGATAATTTTTGAAGATCATTAAAATGTAATTAAGTAACCTCCGTACTCAGCTAAAAAAAATTCTTTTTTCCTTTCAAAATTTAATTCATATTCCCTGACGAGAAATTTCAGCGCTTTTTCAATTTGGACAATATACAGTGGTGGCCAAAATTGTGGACACTTCAGGAAATTTTTATGTTTTTTAACTTTGTATGCTTATAGAAAATGTTACGTTTTGCAAAATCAAACTGCATATATCATTTTTAAGAGAATTTATTATGAATTCAATACAAAACACAAATTCAATATTTGCAATACAAAAAAGTTATATGTACTTTAATATAAATAAAAAACACAGTTATGAAGTGTTTGTAATATCTTTTTCCTAGCCAATCACTGTTCTTGTCTGAGAACCACAATGGTATAACTGCCAGTAGAAGCTGACATCATGTTTACACAATAATTAATAAATGAAATTAATAATGAAAAATTCATATTTGCTTTGTTCTGTAGAAGGAGGACCTGTTTCTTATACAGTGCTTACAAGTAGGAATTTTTGTAAAAATTTTTAATATTAGTCAAGAAGCAATGACATCAAATAAAAGAGTAGATGGACACCTAGAAGAGATGTAATATTTTTGTTATGAGAAAGTGGTCTTTCCTATGCTGAAATTGCAAGAAGAGGGTGGTTCAGTGACTACATCTGGACCGAAAGTTGTTTACGATATCAGGAGACAAATTCAAAAAAAGCAAAGAAGGAAAAAGGCCGGAAAAGTCACCACATCTTTTGATGACAGAAGAATAAAAAGACTATGTCTCCAAATAGAAAAATGTCATCAGCGGCCATCAGAAGTGATCTGAATGATCCTGGTGTTTCTGTCAGTTCAAGAACAATCAGGAGAGATTAACAGATGTTT